TAAAACTAATTAAATGTATTTTTTTTTGGTAATTAGATATAACTTTTTGGTAATTAAATGTAATTTTCTACTATTTATAGCTTAAATTATAATTACTGTTAATTACAGTTTAAAAATAATTATTGTTAATTATATTACTATTAATAATTAAAATACATTATTTTTTCATTATTATTCAGTGTTTTTTGCAATAGACTACAATTAATTTAATTTTTAAATTATTTCTAGTATTTTAATTAAGCTTTAGGTTTTTCAGAATTTTAGGATTTTAATTAATTTTTGGTGTTTTTTCATTATTATTTAGTAATTTTTGCATGTGAGTATTTTTCAATAATTTTCAGTAGTTTCAGCATTATTTTTGCATATTAGTCACTACAAAATTAATTTGCATTTGCTTTCAGTAAAAATAAGTTAAATAACTAAATAAATACCATAGTTAATAAAAATACAGCTAATTTTCAATAATTTTTGGCTTGGATATTTTTTAATAATTTTTGGTGTTTTTAATAATAAAATACTATTAATTATACATTTTAATTATTTTCAATAAATACCCTTATTAATATAGAATATTTTTAATTTTAATATATTTTTTAATTATTTTAATTATATTCATTATTATTTAGTGATTTTTGTAATAAAGTTCATTATTCACAAGAAAGGTCTCAACTCATAAAAATTATTAATTAATTAAAAATGCATTAATACAAAGTTATCTAATAATATTATTAAAACTATAAATTAATATTATTCTATTTAAATTTCTTATTTTTAATTATTTATTAGTATTTTTTCATTATTATTCAGTAATTTTTACAATAAAATACTGTTTATAAAATGGGTTCTACATTTTAATTTTTCATTAATTTTTATCATTTTTAATGAGTTCTAACTTATAAGTTATCTAATAATATTATTAAAACTATCAATTAATATTTTTATATTTAAATTTCTTATTTTTAATTAATTGTTGGTATTTTTTCATTATTATTCAATATTGTTTGCAATAAAATACTGTTAATAAAATGGGTTCTGTGTTTTAAATTTTTATTAATTTTTATAATTTTTAATGAATTCATTATGCACAATAAAGGTCTCAACTCATAAGTTATCTAATAATATTATTAAAACTATCAATTAATATTTTTATATTTAAAATTTTTATTTTATTATCATTTATTAAATTTGATATTTAAGTGGAATTAAAATACTTTTTTAATATTTACTAAGTTTTGCTAATATTTATTTTTAGTGAAATTTTAGTGAATTTTAAAATTAATAATTTTTTAATTATTTAACCTAAACCTATTTATATTATTTGAATTATATTATTATAAATCTCTCTCTTTTTAAATGTAATAATAAATGCATTAAGAAGCATTAGAAAACCCAAAGGTCTCTTTTTCTATGTTAAATGTAGTTTTTTAAATGTAATAATAACATACATTAAAATAAGAGACATTAGAAATCCTAAAAATCTCTCTCTAATGATGTACAACTAAATAAGCTAATCAAGATAAATAATAATAATTATTTTATATTTTAAAAATAAAATAAAATAAGAAAAAATGAAAAAAAAAGATAAATAATTTTTCTAAAAAAGAGGCATGCTGACATAAACTGTTTAATTTTATAATATATAAATATATAGATATATAGATATTTTATATTCTATAAATACTGAAAAACAACTATTTATCTCTATCTATATCTACATCAATCAGATCATTTAATAAAGGCAGCTAAATGACAAAACCCCTTTTTTTGACAAGTTTAATATTAAAATATAAGGTTGGGTGATTGTGTCAAGCTTTGCCAATGCAATGGTCCCCACTTGATGAATTGTTCCAATTGGCCAATGATGCAACTCCACATGGCAAAAAAAACATTCTATATAATAACTCTCTACCGGACCCACTAATAAACCCTTATATATATATATAATTCAACCAAAAAGTAGAGTATTTTACCTTGAATTCCTCAAAATTTATCGAAAATACAGAAAAAAATTAACACATGTTTTTCAATATATACATATTTTCCCGGAAATTCCAAAAATTTTGTAAAATTCCATTTGAGATCAAGGGTCAGAAAAATGACAAAAAATTTAGAAATTTAAAACCCCTTTTGCTTTTGCTTCGGCGTTGCTGTTAAAAGAGGTTGGATACCGGATAATCAGTTCCAGCTTAAATCTACACCAACCAACTCGCAACCAATTGCCAAACATCCATTTTACCCTATTATTCTATTGTATTGTACCGTGTCCCATCAGGAACCTTGGTCGGTCTACAACCCCAACGTCTCGTCTTTCCACGTGGGTAGTTTAAGTGCACACACGTCACGATGTCTACAGGATAAAGAAATAGGCTATTATGGTAATTAAATTGTTTCTTAGACCCCAACCCGGTATTCTTTACCGGGTCTACCAGACTACCACTCCACCACCATTGTGTGTGTGTACGTACTGATATCTCAGGAGTCCTCTCTCTCTCTCTCCTTTTTCGAAAGTCTCTCTCTCCGTCGAGGCGAGTGCAGCAACCGAAAGAAACAAAAGAAAATCGTAAAAAAAGATGAAAGAAGAAGGGAAAAAGTCTGGAAGAGAAGGAGACCATCTCGTATATCTGAGAAAGTTCTGATCTTGCTTCTGTACTTGATGTTGGAAATCACCTCCATCACCAATCATTTCTGAATTCTGCTCTGGTTGGCTTCATTGGAATCACCGCCTCTTCGATTCTCTCAGCGGAGGAGGCTAGGCTTGGTTCCTGGTTACAGGTCAAGATCCTCTGGTGGGGCTCCGGGGGGTTTTATGATCTTTCGTTCTTTGGTTGGTGCTAGTGTTTGATTCGTGTTTCGTGACTGGTTTGAAGCTCATAAGGTAGTTTTTATTGGGTGGGGTGGTTTGGTTGTTTCTTTTCTTGTTCTAGTGCGAGTTTTTTGGGAGGGAAAGGGGGGAATTGGAGCTGTATGACTTGAGTTGATTCAGTATTGGTTTTGGTTATGTTCAGGTTTCGATGTAGTGGTTTGTAATCCTTTTTTGGTGGAAGTGGAATTTTCGATGGTGTGTTTTATCGGGGTGTAATAACTAAGAACTAGGGTTTATGGTGATGGATATTTTGTTCGCGGATATGCTTTATTTGGATTTGGTTTGAGCTGTTTCAATTGTGTTTCCTGTTTCAATGGAGTGCGCTGAGTGATTGAGTAAAGAATTAGGATTTCAAGTGATAGTGGTCTTTATTTGGTGTTGAAATTCAGAGTAAGAGTAACGAAAGGAAGATTTGAGGGATTTATTGTTTTTGGTTATTCATTATTTTTTATTTGATGGGGAATAAGTTGGGGAGGAGGCGGCAGGTGGTGGACGAGAAGTACACGAGGCCTCAGGGGTTGTATCAGCACAAGGACGTGGATCACAAGAAGCTGAGGAAGCTCATTCTTGACTCTAAGCTTGCTCCATGTTATCCTGGGGACGAAGAATACTCCTTCGATCTAGAAGAATGTCCAATCTGCTTTTTGGTTAGTAATTTCAGCTGTCATTTCATTTTATTCCTGTTTGTCACTTTAATTCTTTGAATGGAAACAGTAGAATGGTGTGCATAACTTAGATGTGAATTTTCTTTTATTGGGAAAGTTGTTTGGGTTCTGGTTATAGTGCAGTGACACTAATAATAAAATTTTGAATACATTTTCTTCTTTTAGTATTACCCTAGTCTCAACCGCTCAAGATGTTGTATGAAAGGCATTTGTACAGGTATTTTTTCAGCACTTAGGCTTCTATGTGATTTATAATATTAACTAATATGTCAATGCTTTCTGATGGTGTGCCCTCTGCCAGAATGTTTCTTGCAGATGAAGCCACCTCATTCTACTCGTCCTACACAGTATCCTTTGTATATGGAATTTTGGATCATTTCATTAATTGATGAGGATTCATACTGTGTTTTGTATGTTTTGCTTAACATTACCAAGGTGTCCCTTTTGCAAAACCTCCAACTATGCTGTGGAGTATCGAGGAATGAGGTCAAAAGAGGAAAAGGGAATGGAGCAAGTGGTAAAACCTTACCGTGGCTCCTTTTATTCATTTATTTTTTGGAATTGCAGTTCTATTTCATTCTGAATTTAGACCATGGATCTTGCATTAACTTTCCATCTTTGGTTACAGGAAGAGCAGCGGGTTATAGAAGCAAAAATAAGAATGCGACAGCAAGAAATTCAGGATGAAGAAGCAAGAATGCAAAAAAGACAAGAGATGATTTCTTGTAGCAGGGTTATGACATCAGGAGAGCTTGAACATCAGGATCCACCAGATATCTCGGTAGCAGGTCTGATAGGAATGGAACTCCACCTTATCATTGATGATTCATTTCCTTTAAAAACAAACAATGATTCTTCTCTACTTACTTTTCTTTTTCTCTTCCTGGGTATAATAAACATCTCATCATTGTTTCCACAGTTCCATCATTTCACCTTCCTGTAGAAGGTGATAATATCATGCCTTCTCAGAGCTCATGTGCTGGGCTTTCAAATATGCAATCCTCACGGTCTAGGCAGAACAGGTATATGATGCTCCCACTCCCTTGACATCTATTTCCATCAGCTAAGGTTGTTTCAGTTATGCTAGTTAAATTTCCACTGCTTCCTTTGTGGGCATTGATTTGGGAAACAAAGCTCTTTGTTCACGAGTGTTAATGACTTAATAACAAATCTCTTTGTTACTGAACTTATTTGAACATTGTTTCTTGGAATTCCCCGCAAATAATTGTCTGCTACTACTGATGAAAAAGGAATAATTTCCTGCTACCATTTTGAATGTATGAAAGAGGGTGTTAGAGGCCACATATGGAGAACCTTTGTATGGTTGGATGTCTAGAAGTGTGAACTGTTAATGGATCAGGATTCATTTTTGAGAAGATGATTGGGGTGGTGCTAGTAACCTTTGAGAGTTGTATTCATCTTTATAGTCTTCTTACAAATGGATCGGACATCAACATGTTCTTCCAATGCAAGTGCGGTAGGGTTGACTGGAACTACATCTTTAGAGGTCCCCTGCTTACCCTCTTCCAGAAATCGTAAATCTCATTTTTCCAGACTGAAGTGCTGAGATGATTTGGAAGTTGGATGTCTAAGGCTAGTTCTTCATGGAGTTGTTCTATTCAGTTCAGTATTTTCTACTTTCTTTATNGGGATGCCAAGAGGGGGGTTGGAGATGGTTGACCCAAATTACATCAGAGCTTGCAAGATTCCTCCTGGAGTTCGGGCTTTCATGTCGCTTGTCTTTTTGGACATGGTGTCAAAAGCGAATTACCTTAATCATTGAGGGTTGCACATCCCTAAAAGATGTATAATGTTCAAAGAGGAAGAAGAGACAATTGTTCACTTTTCTTTGTGTCCCTCAACAGCAGAACCGTGGTATTTTTTTTTTTTTATTTCCTCTTTGACATGTCTTGGTCATGTTCTCAACAATATTCATAGAAATGTGTAGATGAGAAGTTTTGTGGAAACAAATGGAAAAGGAACAATTAAGTGCAAATGTACATTTAGCACAAAAATGACTCTAAAGCCAATCTCTTAGAATTTCTTTGCTTCTCCCAAAACCTCTAAATTACAAGGTTGTGTTGTGGAATACCCTTAACATAAACCATGCAACCCCCATACAAATGTTCTGAGCAGATTGCTAAGAGTTTTGCAAACTACTCCTGTTATGCTTTTACTTGAGACCCTAATAAATAGAAAATGGATTTTATTGAGGGTTTTCCCTCTGAAGCTAAATAAAAATTCTAAAGATTTACATAGTTTCTTTATTCCTAATTTCCTCTTCTTTCAAGTTCATCCATCTGTGTATCTTTTCTTGTTTTCTTTGTCAAGTTTAATACTTGAGCAGGTTGGGTACAAGGACTCAACTAGTAATACAATACTTTAATGAAGTCAGTAGCAACTCCTATAGTTCTACTTTCCAACCATCCTTGGTGATATTTTTTAATTTTTTTCAGTGAATAACTAGTTATTATTGATTTATTTCTCATTTGCAAGAATTGGTATAAGTTGGACCTATTTAAGAGTTAAAAATGGGACAATAATGTATTTGAGTGATTTGTTTAGGGATTTTATTCATAAGAAAGGATATTTCTTTTTTTATAAATTATTGGATATATTCAAATGGTTGTTATGTATTAGGTTATTTATACCACCTAAGTTTGAAGTTCAAACTTCTTATCAGATGGGGAATCACTCTCTCTCTCTGTCACACACACACACACACACACACACACATACACACACCCATTGTTATCTTGAGTGGATGGCATATCAATACTTGCATCAACTTTCATGGACTATAAGTGGAAAGCATCTATAGAATTTATAGATTGAAAACCCTATGAAGTAGTTTGAACATGTCACTGGCAGTCATGATGCAGCTGCTTGGGCTTGAGAGACAAATGGATGATCAGCTAAAAGTTAAATGGATAAATCAAGAACAAGAAGTGGGGAGTTCCTAGAACATCCCATTTATTTGGACAGCAATCATATGACAGAGAACTGTTAGCTTTAATTCAAGGTTTAAAAAACTGATGCAGCAGCAGGGGTTGAGGGATGTGATAGTAGAGGGAAACTGTTTGTTTGATGAAAACACATGATCATATTATTAATAAAATAACACACAAACACACACAAGATCATCTAGTATGGGAGTTTAAGTAGTTGGTGGGGGTGGCAGTTGCAATTGGGACAACATTGAATGCCTTTTTCAATTTGGTTCCTAGAAGTGCAAATATGATGGCAAACTCAATAGCAAGAGCAGGGGTGGGGAAAGAGGTGGTGTTGGGATTGCCCAGGACCAGGATGTAATTTGTAAAGTTTTTATTATTGGTTGTTTTTGTAGCCTTTGATTTTCCTTACAATGTACTTTGCAGGCCTGCTCTTTTCTGTGTTAGCAGTTAGGCATTATTTAATGAAATGATTTCTGTTATCTATCAAACAAAAAAATTATATAACAGAGATGTGTTTCTAAAGGTGGTTTCATAAGAACTCCAAAGAGAATAGTAGTAAGAAGTGAGAGAAAAATTTACTTTGTAGTAGGGGTGCAAGCTGGCAGGCTGGGCCGGGTTTTAGCTCAACCCAGGCCCAACTCTAAGAATTGGGCCTAAAGCCCAAGCCTGGCAAGGGTCCAAGGTTAAGCCTGAAATTGATATACATATATGTGCATATGTATGTATGTATGCATGCATGCATATATGTATGGTTTATTAAAAAATTATGAATATATGCATGCATAAGGTGTCTATTATGCATATATACATGTAACCATGCTGGGCTTGGGTTGGGATAAGGTTTGGCCGGGTTTGGGCTACCTAAGGGCTAGACCTGAGCCCAGCCTGAAAAATTAAAAAGCCTGAACTTTTGGCCCCAGGTCCAACCTGAAGACCGAAAATCCAAGCGCAGCCCATGTAAAATTGCAGCCTGGGTCAGTCTGGGCTTGGGTTGGGCCTGCCCAAGTTGCACCCTACTTTGTAGGAATCAAAGCAATGATTTTGACACAGCATATAGAGATTTTTTTTTCTTTGAAATGGTGATTGGGGTGATTGTTTTTAATTCAGTAAATGCTAACTTCATAGAAGTCAAGAATCTACAATTTTTTGGACTTACTGATACTGAAGTAGTTCTTCACATATTAGAATCATGGTGTAAGGTATCTTTATGAGTGGACATTTGGTTGATAATAGCTGAAGTTGCTGAACTAAATGACTTACAGCTTTGCTCTTTAGTGAATAAGTTATTAAGGAGGTTGTGAGCTCTTTCATGGCTGAAGCTGAAGTTCTGCTGATTATGATACTCTTGGATGTTTTATTATTTAATTATTTTATCCACTAAAAGACAAGGGAATAAGTCATCCGGTTTAGCCACTTCAACCATTATCAAATGGGCCCTGAATAATATTTTCTGAAAAATGAAAAGCTTTGCCAAGAGTGGAGGTTTGGAATATTATGCCAATTGAGCATTGTACACCATTTAAGTAGGTCTTAAATTGACCTTGGGAGACAAGTTTGTTCCATTCAGAGGGAAACACATAATTTGATGCCATAGTTTTTTTTATTGAAGTCAAGAACTGAATAATGATCAAATTCTGTGGGGTTTTCAGCCCTTGCATAATGTTTTTGGGAGCTTATTATTTTTAGTCTTAATTCCCAGTGAACAGGTCATTGGTGTACATGGGTCACCTGTATTTCCTTTCTTCCCTTTAAAACAAATATATGTTTTATCCTTTTCAGAAAAAAAAAAACCCTTTTTAGTCTTAATGATGTACTCAGAAGGAAAGAAGCCATTCACTTCCTAGTTTTTTTAAGCCTCTGGAGCACATGGTTTGGAAGTCCAAATTTTTTCTCCTAACATGGCCTTATTCTTACTTATCGAAAAAAAACCGCATGGTCTTCTTATATGATTTAGTTTTGAAGCAAGGTCTTTTGTTATGTTCCTAAATGATTTGTCTGACACACTATGATCTTAAGCAACTATAAAAATGTCCATTCTCCAATATTGTTCAGCATTTTTTTTGGGTGCTCCTATCTTTTTTAATTTTTTTGGTACTGTATCTCATAAGGAGAAAGGAACATTCTGAAAAACGCTGAGTGAACAGGTCATTGGTGTACACTGTTACCTGGGGTTTTTATTAGACTCAGGGAGCTTTTGTTCCACTTTGGAGTTGTAATGAAATCATTTTTGGGGTGGGCCCAGATCATAATAACTGCAAATGTTGGTGGATACTGGTGCAGACTCTGGTGTTGTATGGGTATCTGACAATCACTTGTCACCAATGTTGGTTTATTAGGTATATTGGCAACTTAAGGTAGTGTTCCAAAGATTTGGGATGAAGATTACTTTCTATTTTTTCTCTCTTAAGGCGGTAAAATAAGTCTATTGAAAAAATTCATTCGTCTTTATATTTGCTATTTGTCTGCTCTGTCCCAAATTCATTAACAGAGAAGACGATTCAAGACAAACATTCATTCTTCTTGAAGGTAATTCAAGAAACGCAATGAAATGTTTTTCGTGGATAAGTTATGCTCAACTTGGAGACTTTTTTTTTTATCCATAACTTGGAGACTGGTTTCTCTATATGCAACTGTGAGAAGAATGATAGAGAGTTTTTTCCTTTTTTTCCGAGAAGTAAAGGGGGAGGGGAGTCAGCTGCTTGTTGTACTTTATCCACCAAAACAATGAAACAAGAAAAGAGTCAACACTTGCTCTCTTGTCCTGCTCATGTCCTTGGTACCTGAATCAGTCTATAAGGTGGAATTCATTACTCACTTGCTCTGCTGATCTGGTAGCTCCCCTTTCCCTAATTTTGGCTTCTTCTTCAAGCATCAGGGGAGGGGGGGGGGTATATTAGTATTGCATGGTGCAAATATGGGAACCACTGAACCAGAATCTGATGCATGTTGGACTCAGCAAGACAAGTAAAGAAGATTCATTGACACACCTACAGAAAAGTATATACATTTGAAATAAACCTCTTTTTTTGTGAAATCCAATGTTATCTATTACTGTGTACAGCAGATATCCCACTTACAGGAGAGTGCACACAGGAAATCCACATAAAGTAAATCTCCTTTTTTTTTCTCCCCCCAACAGTGATTTAAAAGGTGTTCCTAGGTGCACAGGCGAGGTGCATCCCCTATTTGGTGATGTTCATGCATTCATTCTACTAAAATATCTTCTTAAAAAGCAATTAAAATTATAAAATCATTATTTTTTGTGTGAGAACTAAGAATTTAAGACCCTAACATGGACTTGTTTGGGCTTGCCTCGAGGGGTGTGGCACAAAGGCGGCTTGTGGAATCAAGAATGTAATATGTTTTACATCACATTAGCTACTTGAAGTAATGCAATTGAGAAAAAAAGAGATTGTGGACTGGGTTTTACATGCTTGAAAATGTTTATATGTTTGATTTTATTTTTAAATTATCATTTGAATATGCTTTACATGCTACGTTTATGTATTTTAATTTTAGATAATAAGTTTTTTAAATCATTTATTTTAAAATTTAAGTTTATATTTTTATTAATATTATGTTTAATATTTTTTTGAATTTTTGGCATTTTTTATTTTTTCTAACATTTTTTGATTTTTTAGCTTTTTTTATTTTATTTTTGTGCCTTGCTTCAAAAAGGCGCACACCTTGTCTTGCACCTTGCGCCTCAGGCACAAATTGACCCCTGCGCCTTTTTTGTGCCTTGTGCTTTTAAAACATTGGCCTACAATTAATACCACATGCAAAAGCACGTGCCTTCCTGCTTTTATTCCTATGAAGAAGGTGTAAAAGTTAATCTTTGTAACTATAGATACCTTCTCAAAAAGGGTTTATCTAAAAGTTTATCTTTGTCGCTTAATGTTTTATAGGAAAAAATGGCATTCATTGTGTACATTAGCTTTCGTTTGTTATATAAGCAAGGAAAGAAGGAAAATGTTATAATTGGTGTTCCTGAAGAATTCATGGAATATAAGAATCTGAAGCATGTACAACATAGACACTTCATTTATACACTGATGTATACATCCCTAACATTTGGGCTTAAATAAGTGTATTTCAAAGTATATGCAAGGATTCAAATTTGTGAACCTTCATCACCCCGGGTTTTCTAAATTGTATTTTCTGCTAAATATTTTGATTTTTTTGTGTACCCTTAATAATAAGCATGTAATTTTGTCAATTTTAGTTCTATATATAAATGGCATTTTTCTTTACTCAAGGTTGCATTTGATGTTCAAGCTTGAGTTTTAACAAAATTTTCCTCACTGCTTTACTGTGGTTCTTTTCGGCTGTTCCCTTGTTGTCATGATGCATGCCCTTTCAGAAATGTTGTGGTCATCATTTGTTTATTTGTTTCTTCTGAGAAAAAAGTTTACTTGTATTGATTGTATTGTATATCAAGAAGATTCTGTGCTTAAGGTGATGCACAGGAGCTATGGACAGATAGCTCCACCTAAATAAAAGGCCACTTAGGCATAGAACTACTGCTATACAAAAATGTCCTGTCAATTGCAGATTTTGCAAGGCGCCAAGTAATAGTGTCTAAATTACTAGGGATGCAATTAATCTGCATGCTCATCTTTGCCAAAGTTTCCTTTATATCATTGAGATGGTGAGCTAACTGCCATGGAATACTTTCCATTCTCCATCTAAGAAAACCTACCAAGTCACTTTCAATGGTAAAGGGGGAGATATGGGCCTGTCTTCCAATATCCCTATCTCCACATATAAAGAATCGGTACATCCAATGAATAATGAAAAAGGAGATTAGTCCCATAAGATCAAGTCTCCAGAGGCATTTTAACCCTTTCCATCTTTTGCATGTGGAGCCCAGCTATTGGGTTACATTTTATTCCTCAAATATTTGTTTTCACATCAGTTTAATTCTTTAATTAAGTTAGTAGGCTGTTAACAATTTATTCTGTGGTAAGTTTTGAATGAGAACCCTTGGGATTCACTAGCCAAATTGTGAATTGTATAATAAATCAACATACGAGGAACTATATATACTTGTTACTTGATGATGGGATCTTTTTTTTTGGGATCAAGATCTAAATTTACTATCAGTGAATGCAGTCTATTAGATTATTGCTGCTGCAAGCATGGTTTTGTGATTTGGTTGTTCAGTGTTCTCTGATGTGGATTTTCAGAATGTATTTTGATTATTTGCACATAATTTTGGTGCCTCTCGATCTGCATCTCTTTTGGCACTGTATGATTTGTGTCCTGGTTTCATATGATCAATTTCATATTCAAAATACTTTTACAAATAAGAAACATGTATTGAAAATGTCAATAAATTGCAGGGAAGATGAATTTGACATGGATCTTGAGGACTTAATGGTCATGGAAGCTATCTGGCTTTCCATTCAGGTGATCTCCTGAACAGTCTAGTCAATTATATTTGATTTGGCTTATAGTTCATGCTTAAACTATCTAATAATGTTCATCTACAAACACAGGCTTTTGTTTTTTCTTTTGGTTGCTCCCTTTTTTTATCTGAGGAGATGTGTAAGAGTTCCACCATTTGTAGGTAGTAGTCTTGCACTGCTGGTCCCAAGCCTAGATAGGAGGGTTATGTCAAGTAGGCTGCCAACATAAAAACCTTTCACCAATCCAATATGTATACAAATCCTGAATTGTTTTGTGCAATGCTTGGGTGTTAGAAAGCATGACTCTATAGGGCACTGGTGGAACAGGATTAAAGTACCAAATAGTCATGACTCATGAGCAGGATTCATGACTCTTGATATGGCAAAAGGATGAGAGGATGTACAAACATGCATACAAAATGGACAAGCAGCATTTCCCTAGTGAAAGAACCATTTGAACAAGGATCTATTACTGTACAAAAAGACTTGAAGCCCTAGATTTGGCTAGCCCATCTATTTACTTAATTCCCTTGGAATTGAATGTGCTGAACTGATCTAGCAATTGTTGTTTCTCTTTATTTCATTCAAAATGTGAGCCAGTCTTGAAGGTCAACATCCCAAACTAAAGCTCCATGTGATTGCATTTTCCATATAACCGAGTTGGATATCTGAAGCTGTGCTTTAATTTATTTGTTCTGGTGAGGAGGGTTGCTTCTATGGAATTTGTATCACTATCACCTATTGGGTCTGCTATAGGCTTAGCAGATGCTTGCATTTGTTCTCAAGACAACTCCACCAGTCCCAGCTGCTCGAAACAATGTTATCTTACTTGGAACAAAATGTTTATTAAAAATTTGCTTAGGATTATTTTTCTTGTCCTGGCTGATAGAGCTACTCAGCAAGATTTTGTAAACTGACTAGGAACAGAGGGGATACCTGATACAAGTTCTGCCAAGGTTGGCAGATTGTATCTTTTTCTCAGAAGTTGATGTTATTTACTACAGAAACTATATATAAATATGGTATTTTATGACGCTACTTTTTTGTTGATTTTCCTGATTAGTTCTATTATGGCTACCTAAAAAAAAATCAACAGGAGAACGATGCTCAGAGAAATCCAGCTCATGGTGATTCTGCACACATGGAACCATTTATGACAGAAGATCGTTATGCTGTAGTTCCACCAGCTGAATCCTCATCCCCTTCAGGTGGTCTTGCTTGTGCTATTGCTGCACTTGCTGAACGACAACATATGAATGGAGAATCTCACCCTTCCAGGAGAAATAATTTAGGTGTTGCCATGCTTCCAGACACTGGTAGGCTGTCCTCCAGGGAGGATAGAGTGGTAGTAAATTGCCCTACACAAAACTGGATTGATGTCTCAGCAGACAGTGGAAGGGCAGTGTTGAGAGAGGATGGAGAATGGGGGATAGATCATGGTTCAGAGGTAGCTGATGCGGGGACAAGCTATGCTAGCTCTGATGCCACAGCCGAGGCAGGTGGAAGTGCTTTGCCTATTCAGGATGGTATTAGTGATCGGTTCCATCCTAACATCACGGGCCCCATTCTGCCCGAGACTTTTGAGGAGCAGGTGATGCTGGCAATGGCAGTTTCAATAGCAGAGGCTCGAACAAGAACAGCACAAGAAGTTCCATGGTGGCAGTTAAACTAGCTGGAAGTGCACTCTTCATATTCTTTCTTTATTCCTTTTCTTCTGTCATGTTTGGTGATCCATAATTTCTCCTTGGCTATTCTTATGCTTTTTTTTGGGCCTTCTTGTGTTGAATACAGATGTAGAGAGACGAGGAAAAGGAAAAAGAAAAAAAAAGAAAAAGAAAAAGAAAAAGAAAAAGGGTGATGTTTCCACTTTCCGGTGGATGAGTTGAAACTAGATAGTAGATGCATGCACAAAGCCCAATTATGATAATAATAATAATACTTAAGACGCTCATGGATATGATAAGAACTAAGAAGGCATAAATAAATGATAAATCTTACAAAGACATCATTCAGATATAAATGTACAAGAAGAAACATTTGCTGCAATAGGTTTCGGGTTGACTGTGAAGTAAAACTGTAACATATTGGACATGAATCAATTACAGATTACATTTATATGCAAAATGTAAAATACAAATGAACCCATTAATTATAATTTCTCAACTTCTAATATATTAATCCACATATTATAATGTATTCGAAATTAAAGAATATATTATGTATGTATTAATTAATATATTATAAATTCAATCTACAATGAGAACTGAAAACCCAGAAATCAAGTCCGCTCCAACTTTTAGATACCTCAAGAAGAAGCCGAATCTTTTACTCCAAAAAAAAAAGAAGCCGGATCTGCTAACAAGGTGAAACAAATAATGCTTCCAACATGATCTGTATGATTCCAGTATCTACCCATGGTAGACAAGATGGGTATATCATCACATTTTGAGTTGGCAACCATTTCAGAGTTGAAGATGTTGACGATTGGTTCTTCTCTTCTGATGGTCAATGCACTTAAAATTGATTGATCTTTGCTACGATTCATTAGTCCCACAACGGTAGTATGGGATGCCGTTGTGGGGTGTATATGTGTCTAGGTTCCCTCCCTCTAAAAGCTACCTTTCAGGGGTGAGTTCTCCTAAGGCACATAACAGATGGTATCAGAGCCTACACTATGCCTCTCAGTTGGTGACATCGGTATTGCAGTGTTTGGTCGGGACTAAGTGGACTAATGCAAAGTCAGTCTGCATGAGCGCCAGGACTGCGGAATGTGGTGGAATGTTACAATTCATTAATCCCACATCGATAGTATGGGATGCCATTGTGGGGTGTATATATGTTTGGGTTCCCTCCCAGCTAGCTTTTAGGGGCGAGTTCTTCCAAGGCACATAACAATCTTCATGATTTCTTGGTGAATATGACTGTGACATGCTTCTCTTAGATGATGCAAAATTCAATGGAGACGGTGAAAGTGCTGGATTTCGTTATGGTTTTAGTTGATCTTAATCAGTTTGAAAGGCTGGCATCAATTGCGGTTCCTTATTTGGGTGGCTTAGGATGATCCAAAAGTTATACTTGGTTTGAGGAGTGATGAATGTCGGTTCTAATTTCCAAACTAAACTAAAGGGTATATGTGGATCATCGTCAAAATCTGGAATCTCCATCTGGTGGTTTCATGTAGGTTTTTCTTTCCTTGACAGCTTTCCACTATGTGAGATTTTCAACTGGATTCAACCACTGGAGCATTTTTGGTTTGAAAGTGTCTAGAGCTCCCAGTTAGGCAAACCATATGTTGGTATTGGGACAGAAGTGATGTTGGAATATAATTGATAAATCTTAATCTTTTGTAAATTGTCAATTTCAGTTATCTTTTTGAAAATAATGGTGAAATCTATGACCACAACCATTCGCCATGAAAAATGGAAGGCGCATTGTGTGAAACAGTTGCAAAGTAGAAGGGGTGTCTATAAGATAAGTCCATTCCATTTCCATCTACCTTGACCTTTCAAGACCTGAACTGCTCCGATGTTCACTATTAAATCCAAGCTTTCTTCTCTTATTCAAATTTGACAGACATCTTTTTTTCCCCTGATTATGGCTGCTGTTAACCAAAGTTTTAGTCAAGTCAGTGTTGTATATCTATATCTATACTTTTATAAAAAGTACAAATGAGGGTGTGAAATTTTTCTTGACTAAAATGATCATATTTGTTATCTAGTCCATTTCTAATTACGAAGGATTGAAAATGTAATTTCAATTAATACTTTTCATCTCCTTTAATCTCCTCTCATTAACTCTTGTATTTAAGGTATTAACTCCTATTCTCTCTTATTTAATCTCATATTTAAGTTAATTTTTCACTAATAAATGCTACTAATTAGATCTATGTCCAATACTTTTAAAAATATAAACCCATATATTTTAAAACTTACTCAAAAACAAAATCATTCTTTATCCAAGTGATGACTAAGCAATTCAACTATCCAAATCAAATTGGCTAACTCATGAAGTCATAGTTAGATAATAAAATTTTTAAATAGAAATAAATATATAAAATTACAAAAATGTAAAAAAAATACACATTTATGATATTTTTTACTAATCAAATTAAAAAACAAGTGTAATAAACAAGAATTATTTTTATTGATGATGAAAATGGAATACATAATCTAAAACTAACAAAAAATGAAATTATTTTCCTATTTAGCATATATCAATAGTTCAACTTTTGGGTCAAATCTATCAACCTTGAATATCATAATTAAATAATAAAAATTAATAAAACATAAAAAACAAACAAAAAATAAAAAAAATACATAAAGTTTACAAAAAAATTTAGGCACATGTATAATATCATATATTTAACATATTAAACAAAAAAATAAGTGTGAATAACAATATTATTTTTATACACATGGAAATAAAAAAATTATAGAAAAAATTGAATACATCTATAACTCCATATTTACACTACTATTAAAAATATGAAACTTTCTTTTGACTAAAATACCCATTTTTTGAATTTAATCCCTATTTAATTGTGAGGTTTAAAATGTAGTTTGAACTACAATTTTCACCTCATTCAATAAACAAAAAGATATACACTAAGAAGATAAAACATTACAAAAGGAAGAGTCCAACCAAATAGGTAGGCTTGCCAATGATACCCAAAACTTTGTAACCCAATATGAGGTGCTTACGTAATCAGATCCAGATTTTGTAATCTATATCCAATTAATAGTGAAAAGAAAAAAATAAAAAAAAATAAAAAATACATGAGTTTTATAGAAAATTTTGAATACATTATTCTATCATTATCATCATCTAAAATTGTCACGTACAAAGCACGTGCATGCTTACTAGTGCATAGAAAAGAGTGAGTCATTAGAATTTATTTTTTTCAAAGAAAATAACAAGTAGACTTTTTTGAAACCAAAAGCCAGCAATAAAACATTCAAATAACATTTGGCCATGCCTATAAGTAGAAGTTTTAGACTTTGGGGAAGAGCATAACCACTTGTATAGGTTTCCCTCCCTTTCCTTTCTTTTCCCTACCTTTTCTTTTAAACCAAACACACAACCTCATGGTTTTAAGGTTTTCATCATTCATTTATTAGAAAGCCCCATGTTCATTGATTCAAAAAAACCACAAGTTGGGGTCAAAATATTTTATTGTTTATGACAATTCAGTGTAATTTGTTGAACTTGTGAAATAATAGCTTATTCCCCACAAGTCATGAATTGACATAAGTAGTAACTCACAAACCAACAACATTCCTAACTTTTACTGCTTGATCACTTCTATTGTTTCTTGAAGTATGTACAATATTTCATTAAAAGGAAAGGAATGAGTGATGAGTCTAAAGTATATTAGCAAGGCCTAAGGATTTGTTAGACAGTGTATTTACCCCTTAAACTGGGCACTTATGAGACTCGTGTTAGTTTAGAATGTTCTCAGTCGTTGGATAAACTTGGGGAATTTATCCTGCCAAGGTTGACACTGATGTGTTGTCAAAGAAGTTGGGGCAACTTATGTCAGTTGCTAGGGTGAGACCTGAAGCACATGTAGTGTGTGTTTGGTTAAAACACTAAACCCAAACCATTTTTTAGTTATGCCCTAGACTTTGGTGATTAATGGGCAAAACTGAAAGGTTATACATAACCCCTAGACTTGATTATGGTACTACACTAGGTGTTGGATTGGACTGTCTTTGATATACCAATCAGTGAGATCCTTTGGGGGTCAAAACTTGGGTATGTTGGGGCAGTATGAGAATTCATCTGAGTGGGTGATCATAGTGATAGGATCGGCCCCTTTGTCGGACATAGTGAATGATAGGGTTTACACTCTCTCTGATGGAAATAGTGAATGATAGGGTTTACACTCCCTCTGATGGAAACCTAAACTGTTAGGAGTGGATTTCAACTATATTTGAGATTTGGTTTCGCAAAATATATTTATATGATATATATATATATATATATATATATTATGTTTTATGAAAAATGTTTGCAAAATGTTTTAATTCCCGGGATCCATCTGAGCAGAGAGTGACACTGCACCTTGCAGCCAGGGGAGATGTCCTTCCCTGTCGGAGTGTCGGGCAGTGTTTGATCATTATGGGCAGAGAGGTTAAGAGACCATTAAGGGTTAATTACCTAATGGGCTTTATTTTACTTAAAAAGTCCATTATCCTTGGATTTTCATAGGATGGTTGGATTCAATAATCATTTAACTATAAATGTTGGGCCCATTTTGAGCCAATAGTGATGTGCTCGGGTGTTTACTATATTTAGTAGTGAATTCATCTAGGCCTTTTCACAAAGGTTGGGCCGAACCTATATGGGCTTATGTGAGATCATTGTGGAGTCCCACATCATACAAATCAAACCTAAATTGGCTAAGCAACAATCTTGGGCCGTGAGCCATATAGCTGATAGGCTTAAAGCCCATAATTAATATGATTAATTAAGATGTCATGTGACATTGGGAGAATCTGGATTTGGAAATGGGTATGGAGCACCCATCCCCTTAAGAGGATGAGTCTTATCTCTTAATAGAGTACATCCAAATAAAGATTTGGATAGTCTCCTAATTGATTAGGAGAAGTGCTCCATAAAGAGATAAAAGAAGAAGAAGGTGAGCTGCTCTAGAACACTTGGCAATTCTGCTCTCTCTCTTCTTCTTTTGTCTCCTAAGAAACCTTAGTTTGACTATGGATTTTGGGACTGATAAAGACCAGTTCTTTCTCTGATTTTTGCAAGAAAAATTTAGAAAAAATTCATGCTCACCTCCACAGTTCGATCCAAGTAATTGGATTGTAGTTTTGCTAAAAACTGTGTTGTTGAACTGGCTTTAACATCAAGCTAGGCCATTTTCAATGGAAACTG